AATTTCATCAAACCAAACAAACTCGATTACCCATTCTCATTATCCTCACTTTACGTCCCTAAAGCATCTAATATAAGGGACCTAGCCTAAGGATTTTCATTGGGGTGACAACACTACTTAGGGGATACCTCAACAATTTATGTCAAATAAGGCAACCATGAGGGGGGGGGGGGGGGGGGTGGAGTACACCTGGTGAACATTTAGTTCAAATAAACATCTACAGGTTGCGAGCCTGCTAGCATTCCACTAGACTGTCTAGAAAAGTCTGTGGTCGTCATCTATACTCCGCTAGATGACTGGATCATCGTTAATATTGAGGCCTCTCATCATTTTATTCCATCTACCCATGTTCTACCCAACATATTTGCAGATATAAAATACATATATATAGTCTAGATCTGAAAAATGAAGTTTAAATCTTTCATCCAGCATAGATCTCAAGGTATAAATAGATATACAATTCAGATTTGAAAAGAAAAGTTTAGATCTGAAAAGAAAAGTTTAGAGCTAATAAAAATAATACATATACAGTTCAGATCTGAAGAAAAAGGTTTAGATCTGAGAAAAAAAAATATATACATTTCAGATCTGAAGAAAAAGTCTTGGATCTAAAAATAGAAAGTTTAAATCTTTCATCCAACATAGATCTTCAAGATAAACAGATAATATGCACACATAGCATGTAATTTATATAAAATACTTCATATATATGTATAAAATAAAAGTAACTATGCACTCACTTGTTAAGGTGGTGATTCGGATAGCGTTTCGCTTCTTAAAATAATCTTCTTTGACGAAACAACGGTTTTGGTAAAAACCGGGTTCTGCACGGGCAGAGTTTCAAATTGAAAAACTCTTTTTCTCGGAGCCTTTGGGCGCTCCAGGGCTTTCTTCTAGTGCTAGGGAGGTTCGCTGGGCTTTGGGAGTGTTTGGGAGGTTTAGAAAGAGAGTAGAAAGAGAAAGAAGTGGTGAAATGTGTGAGAAATCCGCCGGCTCTCGCATCCCTTTTATAGATGTGAGGCCTCGCAATACGTTGGGCGCACCCTCGGTGGTACATTGCGCATAGAGGCAGGTGTCCGAAATTTGTTAGTGTTATGTGGCTAGCTCTGGACCGCAGAAGGAAAGAGACCGTGGGGCGTACTTCGGTCAACATTGGGCGTCCGACTGTACGTTGGGTGTAGCCTTGCACCAGCTCGCAAATTCCCATCTCGACTTCTAAAATTCATAACTTTCGCATACGAGCTCTGTTTTCAACGTTGTTTATATCCCAGCGTAGGTGGGACCTTACTCTACAACTTGTGTCTAGGCTCCGTCGGCTAATTTTGAATTTATTTTTAAAGTTATATTTTTAACAGGCCGAGACATGAAAAGTGCGTTAAAAATCCATAACTTCTTCATTCGAAGTTTGTTTTCGTCTGTCTTTTTACTGTTGAACTACTATTAACAAGACCTTCGATTCTCGTTTAGGTTGTGTCGGTTAAAAATCGGTTGATCTAATATTCGAACTCCGGGCTGCATACTGCTATGCCGAAAATTAGAAATTTCATAACTTTCTCATAAAAAGTCAGATTTGGACGTTCTTTTTATGCACGCTCTCGGTTTAATATATGCTACAACTTTCGTATAGATCGCTAAGGCTAAAAACACTTTATCGTAAACTTACTTTTTACGCCATGCAACGTCGTGCCGATTTTGTCACGAAACTTCGACATGTCATAACTTCTTCGTTATAACTCGGATTTCGGCGTTCTTTATATTTTGGGAATCCTGTCACGAACACTACAACTTTCTTCATAGATATCGGGTTTATCTAACATTTTATTTTTGATGCTTATTTTCATTCTTAATTTATTATATTATCATAAATAAGTATAAAACACATAAATTCACGTAATACTCAAATAATTCATTTTTATTACTTTGAAATAAGTTAAATTTGTTGACCCTAACTATTATATCATCAGATCAATGTTTAGCCTCAAAACACGGGCATTACAAAGAATCTCGTTCGATGATGTTGATGATTTTGTGGGGTACATTGTACGTCCATAAGTATTATATTAGTATTTTCCCTCCTTTTTACTTGGACTGTGAGATAGAGCATGTATGTATCTGACCACTGCTAGGTATGTCTGAGTGGGGCAACCATTAAGCGTCTGGATGATTGGTCTGTATCAGACCAAAGGGTGACAAGTCATCTGCCAGAGTAAGATGAAAAAGGGTGACCACTGACCATTCTAGACAGTCGTGTTAAACACTAACAAGCTCATTACCTGTAGGTGTTGATGAATTATATTATCCGAGGTGTTTGGATGTGTTCGTCAATGTACTTTCATCTCATTTGTTGTCTTTCTTGATCCTTGTCGGTTGCTAGGGAATCCCCGAAGCAACACATTCAACTTGTTGTCCGCATTGATCCTTCTATTTAGATCTCGCAAGGGCATTGTATAGGGTCACTTTGTGAGGATCGACGGGATGAGGTGGATTATCTCATAGGTATGATATATATGTGTTGAGGATAACAATTGATTTTGCAAGTTATATATATATATATATATATATATATATATATATATATATATATATATATATATATATATATATATATATATATATTAAAACGTTGTGGGATTGAAAACCCTATGTATTTCACCAGGTTTTCTAACCTCACCAACTCAGTTTATATGTATCACAAGTAGTGGTGTTAAGACTGTTGAAGGTTTAAATGAATTGTTGAGTGATTGAAGAGAATACTTGCAATATTATTTAGATCCGTTAGGTATTTACGTTGTAACGTATGTTGTGTATTAGTTATGACATCCTTAGGATTTTATTATTTGAGACAATCATTTGTACTCAAAAGATTTTAATATACTTGGATTTTCCGCAAATAAAAGATAATATAATGCATAAATAAATTTTTTTCGGTTATAAAAATAGAGGATATCACAACTGCATATCTGACTCCCGACTGTATATGAATATTTGCCCATGAGGTAGTCGTCGGTATTAGCAATGACTGTTATGCGGGTTAGGGTCAGACCCATTATATTCTTTGGGTTGGGCTCATTATGTATATTGAGCTGAGCCCGTTATGTAAGTTAAGGATGGGCCCATTATACTCCTCGGAGGGGCTCCTTATGTGAGTTAGGGATGGGCCACCATTATACTCCTTGGGGGGTTGGGGGCATTATGTTGGTTGGTTTAGGCTCGTTATGAATGTTTGAGTTGGGTCTGTTGTATATGATATATGCATGTAGATATAAGAGTATGAAGATTGGCGTTAGAGTCGAGGACTTTGTGTAGATGCATTGTATATATTATGTAATTTGTGGTATACTGGAGAACTCACTAAGGTTTATGTTTACAGTTGTGGATTAAATATTTTGTAGGTTGTTCATGGTAGAGCTCGGTGGAACTGTACACACGCATCGAACATATTAAATTCTGTTGTTTTCTAATTCGTCTCTCTCAGATAACATTATGGTTTCAAACAAATAAATATAACTTATTGATTTTAAGTTAAAGGTTTTAACCATGGTTGTAAAAATCGTTTGGCGGTAGCTTGACAGTCGACTGACGATAAGCGATTAGTCGGACTAGGCAGGGATTAACCGGAGATTAAATTAATCGGGGACCCTTAATTATTAATAAAATTAATATTCCCTAAAGTACAAAGTATTTGAAAATTTAAAATTTTGAAAATTTTTCTTTAGTATTTTAAAATTGAAGCTTAAATTTTTGAAAATTTAAAATTTTGGTTTAATATTTGAAAATTAAAATTTTTTGAATTTTTTAAATAATTCCCGCCTATGACCGCCGAGACTGCCCATGACCGCACATGCCGATTTTGACCGATTTTGACCAATTTCCGCCAAGCACCGTAATCGTAATCGGTTTAAGGCCGCCAAACGATTAATCTCCGGTTAATCGGCCGCCAAAGCTGATTTCTACGACACTGATTTTAACTGGTTAACCTATTTTAAAAATGAAAATTATATTTTATAATTTTTTTGGAACGTTATGCATACAGATTTTAACGTTTATTTTTTTGGTTGGAACCCCTTTTTGGAGCTATTTTTTTTGTTAATGTTCATCTTTGATTTTTAACGTCTCTAATTTTTAATTTTTGTGGTTAAGGCTCATCTGATCATCTTTGGTAGTGTTTCGATTTTAAAATTTTGTTGTTCAGTTGTGTATTGAATTGATCATTTGCAAATGAAATTATGAATTGAACCGTTTGTTAAATATCCAAAGTATGGTGTTTATTGAAACCACGAAAATTTATCTTGTTTAGGCTTATAAAAATAATTTAGTATAATTTTATACAGAGAAAAATTCATGAAATGACCATAGGAAAGTGATTGTTTGAAGATTTTAACCATGAAAAATCATGTTTTGTAAAATGATCATGACTTCCGTAGAGGTGGGCTCTGCGGAAGCCTTGAACCTCTGAGAAATGGTACTTTGAAGAATTGAGGTGATAGTGGTAATATTGTAAAATCACACAAAAAAGTTTGGTTTGTACTTGCTTGGCTGCAGAAGTTTTGGGGGGACGTTGCTGTGGAATGAAGGCCGGAACATGAAAAATCCCGATGTGATAAGAACAGTTAAGAAATCCCGATTTTTTCCATAGTTAGCCGAAAAACAGTTCCTCAAAGGTGTGAAGATAAAGAACAGATCCTCGGAGATGTTGATGCGTTCCACAGAGGTGTCTTCGCAGAACCTTTAGAATCATTTATATTCTTTCAGCTATCATTTCCTTAGAGAAATTAATGTTCCGCAACGCATACCGCATTTCCGCAGAGCCATCTTCTGCGGAAGTATGTACCCTACCAATTTTTTTTTTTATCTTTTTCCCCTGCCACTTCATTTCATCATTGTTGTTCACATTCCTCAGAGCTATAAGGCTTTTGCATAAAGGATCTCTACGGAAGGCATGATCATTTTACAAATCTTAGTTTTTCAATGTCAAATTCTTCGTACAAACCCTATAATTTGGTCATTTTATGAATTTTCTCTTTTACATGTACGTATAATATTACTAATACAACGTTTATAGGACTTTACAGGAAGAGGAAAAAGAAATACATCCTAAATCGTGGACGACTATTCAAATTGAGTATGTCTAGATCGTCCTAAATAACTATTAAATACTTTAACAAACTCACTAGAATGTTTTATTTGATAGATCAAAGTACAAGTGTACAACAATCTTTTTTTTTTATAGGATTTACATTACAAACCTATTCCAAAATCTTGAAGAATATCTAAAGATATTTTTTGAAATAACTTGTTCTTAATTAACTAAAACTCTAAAACTTCAACGTTATTTTGGACTTGTATGCAACCAAATTGAATAAAAGCAGCTATTCTCTTCTTGATCTCTTTTGGATTAGCACCAACAACTTTATCCATCACTTCCCATTCTTTATTTTTGTTAGATGTCATCATTAAAAAAGTAGGCATTGCTTTTATTTTCATTTTCTCCCTCAATCCCTGTACATTTCACGAAAAAAAATATATATATTAAAATATTAAATAACCAACTGTTAGTGGGGCCATCTACGGTTTTAATACCATGCTTCTAATTTCAATTAGACATAAAATAAACAAATATTACATCAAGTATTAAGTATATCAGTTGTTATTTAAATAACATGTTGATATGAATGATTACATTAGTCCTAAATAATTAATGTTACCTTCACCTCATCCACATCAACAGATAAGAAAATGGCATCTTTATGTATCAAAGCTTGTTCTTGAAACAGTGGCTCCATTGCTGTTGCAGGCTTGCACCACATTGCTGTAAAATTCACTATTATCTGCAAAAGTTTCATAATAATCAACTATAAATATTGTATCATTCATCAATGCATGTAAGATATCTCAAGATATATAAAAAAAACTTAGGTTATAACTACTTAATGTCCAATGGGTAATATATATATTCTTTTAAGATATATTTTTTTATTTTTTTAAAAGTAGTTAACATAAATCTAAATATGATATAGCTTAAAAAACTTACAGGAGAATCTTGATACATAGGCTTAGATGTGATGTGGTTCCATTTTTCTTGAGAGTCTACTTGCACGACTCTAGATTTGACACCTTTCTTAAGCATTGTTTTTCTTAGGGATTCTTCTTGCTAATAGCTTGAAGGCTTATATATAAACTCGGGCTATTTATAGAAAGTTGAGAGGGAACAACTTCTTTGTGAGCCAATAGTATTTGAAGTCAACTTTAACCCACTTTTTTTATATCAAAAGTAATAATTTTGCTTTCAATATATAAAAATGTTTGCTATAAATGATAAGATCTTTTCTTTGATTACAAAGTGAACTTTATTTTATGTAATCAATCTTTTATTTTAAATATAAATATAGAAAAAAAATTAAAATTAATCTAAATTCTAATGTATTTTATTCTTGTCTTTGAAGTGTAATTAGATACCGAGATTCATGTATATGGTATGTATTCACAGTTTAATTTTGTTTAATATTTTAATCTTGTCATTGAAGTTTGCAAATTACCAAGAATTTGTCTGAACTTTGAAAAGAAAAATCGTTTAGATGTATTTGGAACAATAATATCTGATTTTGGGTAAATACAAAAATGAAAACCTATTTTAATTTGGTCATCAAAATTTAAAAATCATCAAGAAATTGCTTAAACTTTACAAAAGAACTTTTTTTTTTTGGTAATCTTAACATGGTCAATGACTCAATGCAGACAATCAATAAGATGTAAGATCTATATTACCTTATGACATCGTTTAGTAGAAAAAAACATTTTTTTCGTGGATTTGGATTAAAGAAAAGCCTTAAAAGCCTAAAACACGTTTCCCCTTTTTCTATACCATTACATTTATGTGATATGGTTTTTGACCATTTATACTAAGACAAGTTGTCTGATATAATAATTAAAGCGATTTGTTTTATATTTTTTGTATGCGAGATTCACGAGAATTGACTATTTTGTATGTGATTTGTTATATATTTTTAGTCGATAGAAATTGAAGATTGTTAAAGTTTAAAATAGGAGGGACAACAGATTAGGTTTAGTTAAACGGGCTTATAATTTCTAACTCAATTCAATTTGTTTAATGAATGGGTTGAAATAGGGTTTGATATGTTTATATTTTTTCACAACCTAACATTTTTAATAAATGTGGATAGACCCGTTTAAATATAAAAAGTTAACTAAATTGAACTTGTATGTTACATATCTCTAATCATTATTTAAATAAAACTAAAAATTTACAAACTCAAATAACTATTGAAGTTTGAAAAAAAAAAAAAAAACAAGTACCGAGCCCAATTGTTCAAATAAAATTACAAATAATACTATTTAATAAACATAATCATTAAATGGATCGATGGGTTGAAATTAGGTTAAAAATTATAAAACATAACTCAACTCAATTAATAAAATGGATTTGGAATCTCAAACTAACATGCTAATTATTGGATTGGATTGATAGATTGGTGGCTTCTTACGTGCTCTAGTTTAAAGAGTTTAAATTGTTTTTAAAATTATGGTATGCTAGTTATACAAATCAATAATGAAAATTTTACATATTTGTGATAAAAATCCATTTTAAAAAAAGCAAACATTATAATATGCAACATAAGAAGCAAATTATTATCAATTATGTGAAAATATTAATTGTTTAATTGAGGTTGGATTAAGATGGCAACAAACTATATCTCCTAATCCAATTGATTGATATTATATATCCTCGTCAGCATTAATATCCATTATTCCTACACGGATCAAACTTATCGGTTAGAGATGCCATAGTCCATAGAGGGTGGAGCCACACCAAGTGAAACCGGATATTTCCTCTTTTTTTTTTTTCCCTCCGGTTAGGTTGATAAGTTGATTAGAAACATTTTTTGTTTAATTTTTTTGAAAACTTGCATAATAATATGTATCAGGAAGTAATAACTAATTTTTTAGTAAATGACATAAAAATCTGCAATGTTTTTAAAGTTGATTGATTCAGACCTTAAAGTTCTTTTCTTGTTTTATGGGGTATAAAGTAGGTTATGATTTGTTTTTTTAGTCTCTTCAATCTCTAATAACCGGCACACCATATGACATGTGACCATTTAGATCCAACAAAACTTAACTTATGCCCCCATAAAGCTAAAAAATAAGGTTGAGATCATTTAAACCAAAACTCAAAAGCACACATTAAAAACACACACTTGTTTTAATCTTTTCAACCCCTAATAACCGATACAACATGTGTCATGTGACCATTTAGACCCGACAAAACTCAACTTATGCCCACATAAAACCAAAAATAAATAAATTTGGGAATCATTTAAACCAAAATTTAAAAACACACACCTGTTTTAGGTCGACTTCATCTCAGCAATCTTGAATATGAAGAAATGGAAGATAAATGAAGATCTGAAGACATTCCTAACGATGAAGAAAAATGTGACCAATAGTCCCATTAGTTGAAGACTATTAAAATTTTAATAATTTGGGATGCTTCTCTTCCAAAATGGTATAATGAACAGGGAAAGATGATGATAGAGCTCTTGTTGTTCCATGGGTGCTAAGTTGTGTTGGATTAGATCTCTAAATGGATAACGTGTGTTGTGTCTCCATAACTTTAGTAGCATAGGTAGCTTAAGGAAACTCCATAACATAACTTGTGAATGTCATTATGCCTCTATCATGCAACCCATTAAACAGATTAAACTATTAAACAGTTAACCAGGTATCATGTTAACAAACTAGAAGACAATATAAATTGCAGAAAGTAAAGAAATTCACAAGCAACATTTTGGTTTCAAAAATAGAATTCAAGTGATGTATCATGTATATAAAGTCAAAAGAAGCATCAATTACCCTAATTGAACACATTCATATGATCCCTGAAAAGGCAACTTTCGACCACTCAATTCAATCAAGTAACAAATCACATCACAACTTGAAAAAATTCACACCTTCACGACATTGTACATCACTAGAATGCAATTGAAATCACAAAACACACATACACAATCTTTACCTTAGATTATAACCATAAAATCCTACAATTCGAAAACCTAAACAGCTTCAATTGCTCTTTAAATTTTGAGGTTTCTAAGGAAATTAAGTTGATGCAAATTTGACTTTTGAGTGGTTCTCTTGAACACAGAGACATTTATCGTATTAATCTCATCACCGCCGTCTCGACAAGACATGAAAATGACGACAATTAGTGGGCAACCTTCTTGTTCAATTTGGCCTTTGCTTTTTGTATGCAGCAACAAGGAAGAAAAATTGAATACTCTGCTAGCACATTGGTGGCGCGTGGAGACAAATATGTAGAAAAATAATTGGCGGAGATGTAGTCAGCCCCACCGGACAACACCATATAAGTGGTTGTTGGTTCCTTGGGTAAGCTCAAGTGCTTTCAAAACATATTGATGAATGGCTTCAAATTACTAATGAAACAAGTGAGTTTTTTGAGTTTTGGTTTAAATGATGTTCAAACTTATTTTTTGTGTTTTATGGGTGTATAAAGTGAGTTTTGCCATGTATAAATGGTCACATGTAGACGTTGAAGGGACTAAAAAAATATTTTGTAACCTATCTTAAATCCCCATAAAACCAGAAAATAATTTTAAGGATTTGATCAATCTAACTTTAAAAACATAATAGGAATTTTGTGATATTTCTCTTTAATTTTTTGAATTAAACAACTTTGTATTGCGTTGAAGTATTCACGACTTCAAGTACAACTCCCGTTTGATTATTCTATTTCTTTTCTCGCAGATTAAACAGAATTTTGCACACGTCACTAAATGAGTCATATGAGGTTTTACTCAACGTCACGTGACACATAGCAAATTCGAGTCTATTGGGCCACATGACAGACAGGCCTAATTGTATAAATCTAAAGCCCACAAAATTTCCATATACATATTACATAGACATAGACTTACCATAGAGGTTATCAACTGGCCCAAGTGGCCTATCTGGCTGTGTAAAATTACCGAATTGCCCTCAGTTTAGGATGTCTATTTCGTGGCCGGTAACACCCATCAATCTTTCAAAACCCATAACTCTCTTATCAGCTAAACACCACCTACAGGCTACAACCATGGCTCCGATGGCAAACCTTAACCAAATTTTCATCACTTTTCCGGCCATCCCAAAGCTTTCCGGCGACGGAAAGTCCCGGCCAGATGCAGGTACAGCCCGTTTGACCGGAATCAATGCGGAGGAAACTCAAAACCACCCATTAAAACCAACAAGAAGACTGGCATTAGGACTCGGCTCTTTGGGACTCTTTGCAAATTCCAACATTTCCGTTGTTCTTGCGGAAGATAACGGTTTTTGGCTCACCGGACCTATTCCGATACCCCGGGCCTTAAATAGTAACTCTCTCGTATCCTTCTTTCAACAAAATAAAGAATGTTAATTTTAACTTTAAAAGTCCAAACACATCACTTTTCAGTTCAAGATTATTAATCAATATGAATTTTTAATCATGTAGAATGTTTTCCCTTTTTGAAGTAGTTAAGATGATATTTAACCTACTGTCGACAAGTTCGATAAAAATAAGGAATTTGCTTTTGAGTCTAGTGTTAGAATTTTTCACGACTTTGACTTCGAAAGTCAAAATTGTTACAGTGATCGATAACTTGGAGACGGGCACACGGTCTTTCTTAAAGACGGGAGTGTACATAGCCGATATTGGGACTAAAGGAAGACAATTTCGGCTAAAGAAGTACGCATTTGATCTTCTAGCATTGGGGGATTTGATAGGTAAAGATGCATGGAATTATGTTCGAAAGTATTTGCGTCTCAAGTCAACGTTCATGTACTTTGACTTTGATAAAGTGATCACTGCTGCTACATCCGACGAAAAGCCACCACTCCTCGATCTTGCAAACAGATTGTTTGATACGGTTGAAAAGGTAACTAATTCAAAACACCACATACATAGATCAAGGTTATAATCTTGACTTTTGGTCATGGAAGATCACCAAAGTCAAAAGTCAAACCATACTCGGAAATCAATAAATTTGAAAAAGAGAGGGTAAAACCGTAAAAGTGCATTTTGTTCTGTATATACGTGTGACTCATCTTTTTTTCACAGCTAGAAGATGCAGTAAAGAAACAAGACCTTCCTCAAACTGAATTATTGTACAAAGACACAACAGTTATTCTTCAAGAAGTTATGACGAAAATGGCATAAAACTTGTCATGACATGAAATGTATGTGCCATGATTGTGAATCATCTTCCTCAGCTTTGTTTTTATTGTTAATTGTTCTATATGATGATAGAAATACAACATGTGTTGATCATATACATATTCCAAACTCTTAATGTTCAAACATAGTCATATGTTTGTTAGAAATTAGGGGTGCGAAAAATGTTTTGATAATCAATGAATATGGATTTCTTCAGAATTATGTTCTGTATTGATATTTCTCTCAAGTGTACGGGTTAACATGAAAATCAATGAATATGGATTTTTTTGGAGAGTATATATATGGTATGTTCATGATCATCGAAGAGTCCTATATATGAGGAGATATAAGTATATATTGTTAGAATTGGGGTATATAAAAAACTTGGAAATTCTGAGAATTATGGTTTTCACTTTCAGATTAAAGTATTTGGGTGGTACTCCCAATCTTTAATCGGATAAGACTCAGAATTGAGAAAAAAACAGAAGAGAGAATGTTTTGATGTTACGAAGAAGAAGTCTACCAACCACAGATTCGGATATGATCATGTAACAGAAAACTTCCTGTCTTAAAACTGCCACATGACAATTTTATGTTCTAAAACTGTCCACAAACGGTCATAAACAACCTTAAATCCCAGCCAGAGGCTCTGCCCCTTGGACCTTGCCAGGGGCTGCGGCCTCTTGGACCCCGCTCCCAGGGGCGCTGCCCCCGGACCCTCATCGGTTTAGGGGCTTTGCCCGTAAATAGCAGTATACTTTCAACAAAGACAAATTTAAACAAATGTGCACTCCACACCATAGCGATTTGTTCAATCATTGTCAAAGTGACATTGATCAACAAATTGACCCCATTACACTTAAATAACATTAGTGATATAAAATCACCAACATATATAAACATATATCTGAAATTTCGCTAACAACGTTAACAAAAAAATATATATATGTAATCTATAGTAGAAAAATGGATTCTAGAGATAGCTGTAGCGGCAAAACTGACCAAACAAACATCTTAATTGGCTCCAAGTTGTCGATAGTTGGATAGGTCGTTGGACAACTTGGTTGTCAAAGAGCTTAAGATGTTACCAACAAACCCAAACTTACCCTATTTCTTCTATGTTCCTTCATTGACTTAATATTTACATCGACAACTCAACATACATTTAATCCACATTCAATGTCATATAAGCCCTCCCTTGCTTCTTTCAATTTTATTAAACTTTTATTGTGACTCCTCTAAAATTAAGTTTAGGAATACTTTATGAAAACGTGAGACTTTAGATTTCTTCTTTGTCTCATTAGATATTTTAAATTTTACCTTTTATACTCATGGCACACAAAATCGTCTCATTCCCCAAATAAAATTCTTGCATAGTTAATTGGGTTTTCATGTTAAGAACGCTTACATATTCATACTAATTTACTTCTAAATCTATATATTTTGTCCATAATGATACTTAAACTCTCAATCTTTGATTTAAGTGCACGTACTCTTTAGGCAAAGGTCATTTGATAAGTTTCCATGTGTTATGTATCATCCCAAAACAACGTTCATTTAAAATAAAATTTGAATTTAAAATGTTACATTAATGACAACCAATAAATAAGTTTCCAAAATATTTAAATGTACCTTATATTTTTTGTAGTTAATTTATTTTATATCTATGTATATAACTAGATTATAGCCCGCGTTAAACGCGGAAAACACATAAAAAAACATATAATCGTTTATAGATATTGTATAATGATTATAAAAAAATATATATGACTATTGGTATTATTGAAATATGTTGAAAATACATTAAAAACGATATATATATATATATATATATATATATATATATATATATATATATATATATATATATATATATATATATATATATATATATAATCATTGAAACATCTTTTTGTAGACATCATTTTTTGTTTTATTAGTTGAACGATTTTCCTCGTGTTATATAGTTATGATATATATATATATATAAGCATTTTAATTAGACGTTCATTGCATACTAATGTTACCTAATTTAAACATATATCGACAATTAATATACCGTTTTTTCTATTGTATTAAATATTAACAACTATTTTATTTATTCAAATAAAGTTATGTAATATAATTTATAAAATGTTAAATGTTATATAGATTTAATTTTAGTATATCATCAATGGAGATTCTTTTCTAAATCATGATTGGTTTATTTTAAATTGATTATAAATATAAATTGCTAGCTTTTATGTTTGTTTTTATTTATTTAGTGTTCGCAAAAATTTTGCATTAGTTTTGGCGCAACTTTGAATAATTTTAGTATATCATCAATTTAATTTGATATATCTGTCAATTATATGAAATATCAAATAATGACATTTCATTACTATTGTGATAATTTAGTTTATATATTGTATTTTCACTAATCTTAACGGTCTTATTTTTTGTAATAACCGTAACGCTTTTATTAAATGTACTTTTTACAAATCTCCTAATATCTTATAATTTTAATCTTACTTTATAATTTTTTATAACTATGTTATTTTCAAGATTGACTGCTTTAATAGTGTTTTTTTTTTGAGTGTATTCAATTTTATATTTCATTGTACAACATTATCGTTTGTATGTATTCTGAAATTTCACTTTAAAAATGTTTAATGTTTACACCTTGATATAATTTTTTTTAATAAACTCATGTAATAATTATGGAATATATATCTCATTTAATTAACATTTACTTCCTTTATTATATCAAATTTCTCATTAAACGGATATACTTTTGGAAAATAATAATTATAATAGGGCAGCATTATCTAAAACGTAAATGTTTGATATACTTTTGGAGAAAAAAATCAGGGATCATTAAAAAAAATTTATATAAATAAAATACAAATTTAAATTTGTTGAAATTATGGATGAAATTACTGATGAAAATTTATTTTGGAAGGAGTTGTATTTTGTAAGGTATAATAATATTACAAAATTTGAAATATCTATATTTGTTGTGTAAATTAATAAATTTTATTGTTACTATACGAAGATAAAAAAGTAGGTTGATATAATATATAAAAACATAATAATTTCAATGATATTTTAAAATGATGCCAAAATTAGCCGGACTCTTATGACATAAAATTTTTTAAAAAAAATCATAATCATCTCTAATATATAAAAGTAACATTTTCGTAATTAATGTGAGTTCCTATGATAGTTAATTTTTGTTTTGTTAAAGGTACCTAATACCTTTTCATGTTTATTTGAAAAGTTTCAGAAAAGTAGTTAACTGATTTCATGTAATTTGTGACAAACAAAATCGAAATATATGAATACATACATTTGATATAGGAACAAAAAATGATCGAAAAAAATATAAAAAGCGAAAAAAGGTACTGACCTTCTAGCGCACAAGAGCGAATGTTGATAGCAGAGAATGATGATGGAAGTTATAAGCAATATTAACGATGTTGTAGGAGAAGGTTTGAAGAAAAGAATCGATTGAAAATAAATGTGAGTCGTGGATTCAATGATGAATTGTATATGTATGTGATAATTTGAATATGATTTTTCGGTATTAATGATTTCCTAATAAAAAAAGATTTTATATTACTGGTTTACTAATATAAACGGATTTATATTAATGGTTAATATTAAGGCCTTGATTGAAATGATTTGTTAGTAATATATTTTTAAAATTGATCATATTAAAATCTTCATAACTGAAAATTCAAGATGTAAAATATGGAAAGCTTTTATTGGAATTAAATACATTCCATTTCAATGAATGTAAGTTATTGATTGATGATTGGAAAACATTTATTGGAATTAAATACATTCCATATGGGGAAGATGATGTCAGCAATTTGATCTAAGGGTGAAAAAAATAAGATTGAAATACAATCAATGGTCCAGATTATTTAAGATGATGTCATAAAGTTTCTCTTTTAGTAATATTTAAGATATGTAGAAATATTTATGGTAAGTTACAAACTAAAAAAAAAAAAACTTAGCACAACATTGTTTTTTTTACCGAACAGTTGAAAAGTTTATTAAATTAAACAAAGCCTAAGAAGGAGCTAGAACAAAACAAGTGTAATGTAGTAAGCATGTTTTGAATCCAAAGAGTGCAATTAATGGAGCACTTTTGGTTCCTAGAGGAATACCACCAGGAAAAGAAATTTCAACAATAAATCAAAAATAAAGTCATCAAAAATTCTTTGATCTTGAAATAGAAACTGCCGTCACTATATCAGTATCACTTTTATCTTTTATTTCAACTTGCAGAAATCATAATGTTTGGTTTTATTTTATATAAGTCGTTGGCCTATGAATCTCTAAAGGTATGTGGCGTATGGTTGTATGCATATGATCAAACATGAAAATCTTCCATCCACATCCATTTTTGGTGTTGAGTCATCAACCATATTCATATCGCTAATTATACATTGCTTAAATTGAATCTTTCCAAAAAAACGCATATATGCTCTCTATGAACAGAACAGTTGACTTCTCCGAATGCTTGATATATAAAAAATAAGGTAAATAGCACCATTTGAGCAACACACATCAATCCTCCTCAAGACCCACGTGAGATGTCAATCGAGGAACACTAACAATATTTTAATTAGGTGTGCCAATGTTTAAACCATATATATGTTGGTGATTTTAGTATCACCATATCATTTTAAGTAACTGGAACTAACATGTGAACTAAAGAGCTTCATGATTTGTACTCTAATACATGTACGGGATTGTGCGGAGTGCACGCATGTATAAGTTTGAGTCAGAAGCCGGTTCGACGATTAGTCGGGGGTCCGGGGGTAGCGCCCCTTTGGCGGGGTCTAGGGGCAGCACCCCTAGCGGGGTCCAAGGGGCAGAGCCTTTTAGCATAATAGCTTACGTTTTGCATGTGGGAACATAATGGAAAATTCAATTTCTTGAGGGTGATTATGGTAAAACTAACGAAACTCGTTAGTTTTTGGTAACCCTAATCCGGATTAATATTACTTGCTTTCAAAGCAAGTAATGACGGCCCAACCCTAATGAAACCCTAATCGTGTTTAGTATATAAACAACTCTTCCTTTCCAGAAGACGAAGGTTCTTTAGCTCTCGTTTACATCACACATTCACAGAACCTTTTAGCATAATAGCTTACGTTTTCTTTGCCTAGAAACGTAGGTGTCAGTTTGGATTATCATACGCTGAATTTTTTGTAACCCAGACATAGGGTAGAATATCAGTTCGGAAAGTGATATGACGATCCAAGCTGGTATCCAGATCTCCACCGCAAACCCTAATCTTCCCAACAATATATATGTGAAATTATTTTTTCAACCATTGAGCTGGGGACATATGTTTGATGTATAACGATCAACATTTTTGACTCATGGCCTACATGCTACATTTTTTTTGAACAACCGAATTATTATCAGAAGACACTAGCATGAAAACATTAAACATTAAAGAAAAATACAAAATGCAAGTGAAAAGAGTTGAGGGCATTGAAAAAAAAAACAAATAGTTTTTACTTTTTGAATTGTATATGCGAACAAATTAAAAGAATACAACATGATTATCTTGAAAAAGAATACAACATGATTATCACAAAAGTTAGAAAACCATAATAATTCGGTAGGTCCACAAGAGTTGTATAGTAGTCATACAAACAACCTCCATCACAACTCTTTTGATCATAGTCAACGACGACTATCCACCCATTCAAGTATATCACGAACTTGACTGATATTATGGAAGATCAAATCCATCCAAGAGGTCACCTGACTCTATGAACTTGAGATGCTAACTCACAAGACCAGAAAAGATGATTTGATTCTTCAAAATAGAATATCAAAGTTTCAAAACCAAGTATATTTCCCAAAGGACGTGCTCATGGTTCATGGGTTCATGTAATTGAATATATATGTTGTCAAACATACGACATGTACATAAATAATCCACAAACCTTCATAAATGGTCTCTGTGGTTTCACAAAATCTGAAGTTTAAACTCTAAATTTAAAAAACCTCATAGATGGTCCATGTGGTTTCAAAACTTTTAACAAATGGTCTTTTTACCAGACATCGTCATCTTTTGGCCGTTAATAGGAGGGCATTTTCATCATTTCACAAAACAAGGACCATTTATGAAGTTTTTTCTTTATTTAAAAAAAGGAAAAATAAAATATAATTATTTAATATAAAAGGGCCTCTCTCTCTCTCTCTCTCTCTCTCTCTCTCTCTCTCTCTCTCTCTCTCTCCCCCTAGTGTCAATCCCTTTTAAACGTCTACTTAATGAAGTTTTGTTGTAAACCCAATCCTTTCAATCGTCTCCTCAATGAAGATCGCATGCTATTCGACAACATCGAGTAAAAATCATCCCTAGCATCAACTCCAATAAATTGTGGCGATCACACATCTTCTCTGTCACGATGATTCCTGCAATCTCAAAAGCCAATACCGGCGGCAGAGTTTCCTTCCAAATTGTTGCTGTTTTGTGAAGTGGAACCAGAAGAAGGGGGCGAGCAATAGGTTTGTTCTGGCCCTAATTTTAATCCCTAAGTTTTGCAGATGCTACTTTGGCAAGGCCGAAGCCACCGATAAAATCCAATGTTATCTTTGATGCCGACCACCTATGACCATGGTTTCCAGAATATGACATCGATCGCGCCTTCGCCCTCGCCTGTTGATTTTATGTGAGATTCAAATCTAGTTTATGTTAAAACTCTTCCAATGTCATCAAAAGCCAATACTCCGACCCTTGATTTCTTGATCACCAGTTTCCCATTTGGTAGGAGAGAGTAACCATGGACGGAATCGAGGTTATGTAAGATCAGTTTCTTGACCTTGATTAGCCATGTTTCAAGACCCATACTGTTGGTTCGATTTCGTTGGATAGAAACAAACAAACAAAAAAGCATGTATGCACAAAAGATTTGAGCAGTATATAGTGGGGTTTGGTTCTGGTTCTGGTTCGTTGAAGTAATTAATGCAAACACAAGTTGAATGTTTGAGGGTTTGATTTGTGTGATCAAATTTAATTTGAAAGAAAAGAGAAAAGGAATTATAAAGAATATGAAGGATTAAAGATTGAAGGTTTATGGGCTCATGAGAAATGTGAAGAGATTCATTATATTGCCTGCTTTCAAACCATTGTGTATCTGTGAGAGAGAAGGAGGTGAAGGACGATGACTATGATGGTTGGTGGATCTCTAACTAAGAGAGAGAGAGAGAGAGAGAGAGGGGGGGGGATTTTATATTAAAAAATATATTTTATTTTTTCTTTTTTTAAATAAAGCAAAACTTCACAAATTGTCCTTATTTTGTGAAATGACAGAAATGCCCTTCTATTAACGGCCAACAGATGACGACGTCAGCTAAAATGACCATTTGTTAAAAGTTTGAAACCACAGAGATCATCTGTGAGGTTTTTTGAACTTAGCGGCTAAATTTCAGATTTTGTGAAACCACAGGGATCATTTATGAATTTTTTTTAATAATCTTTATGGACTCATTACATTAAATTGTGTCCATGCAAAAGATTTTATGATTTGACCGTCAATGTTTTTTTATCCTTACCATCTCATTTGAATTTCATTCCTATCCCTTCACCCCCAAAACTTTTTGAAAAAAAAATCCGATTTTTATGAACCTTTTAACATGAATCTCAAAAGGTTTTCATTAAATCTTTGAAGAACAAGAAGAAGGCGACATGTCAACAGTTTGGTTTTGTTTGAAGAAATCATTCCACTGTAAAACAGATCCTTCAGAATCGAAATCCAAGAACCATTTATCCACCATCGTGACCCGAAAACCAGGCAGGTGGGGTTGTTCAAGATCCATTGCATATCCCCGTCATCTTTCTTACATTCATAATGGAGTATGATTTTTCCTTGAAATAGTCGACGAAGCTGCTCCCTTTCGAAGACGTCCCCTTTCTCTATTCATGGAATTTTCTGTGTAACTTTGGGGGCGCGAAGAAAGTATATCAATAAAAAAAGGGGACGAATTTAAAGCTTATTTTACAAATAAAAAGAAATTGGAAATTGACTATAATCAATATTCCTCATACATAATACGTGATTATAGGGTTTGCTCGAGAATCTCGTTAATTTCGAGTTTTTTTGTTGCTTAATTAGACAAACTGGGGTTATCCTTGTCCGAGACTTGTTTGGATTTTATCATTCTCGATTATTATCGAACAAGATTGTTTGAATTATTTACGAAAAACCTGCCTACGATTGGCGATGATCTATGCTTTAGGGTGTAATGTTTTTTTGGTTGTGTTTATATTGTTTGGTGAAATGATTCGGATTGATATTTCAAGAGAAAATGGGCGCCAAAGTGGTGATTTTATTCATGACAATTATCATTCTACTTTACCCTTTGGCGGAGGCAGTAGAATCAGACAGACATCGCCAACAACTGCCTCCTGACAACCAAATGTATTTGGAGGAGACCATGGATGAGGACACGGTATTACTCCATTCTTCCTCTTACTTTGAGCTTGATATGTGTTCCAAAAACTATCAGACTTGCTTTTCTTTTACATAATGTTAGTTTAATCCATTGAAAATCAAAGAAGCAAATAGTCTCCAATAAGCATCACCAATGCCCACCAGGTGTTTATGAAAAGACTTACTGAAATCCCCTTGTTCCTTGGTATCCATATTCATGTTTTAGAACGTTAGAATCTATTAAAGTGTCAATTTCAGCTAAAGTTTGATGGTGATAATCGTTTAGATCTTATTAAGCTGTGTGGATGATGATGCAGGCAGAACTATTATGGGTGAACTGTGGAGCAGAGTTGATGTACACAATGGAGGCTTTTGAAGATCTTGAATATTGTGGTTGTGATAAAAGCATTACAGGAAAAGAAAGAATAATAAAAGCTATAAATGTCCAAGACCCACATGTGAAGAAAACTATACTGGATTGCTTGAAGGAGAAACGTATTGTTTTATCCAAACTCAGAAAAGATAAACTTTCTGCAACAACAAGCTTGTACATAAAGTATTTAGTTTCCTTTTTAAGCAAGCCTAATATTATTATTGATCATTTTCATGGAAGACGAAAGTTGGGTGAAACTGTTAGCCAAGGCACGGTTGTTGTTGCTGTAATTGTTACAGCAATCTTCACTATGTGTCTCGCTGGCCTTCTCTTTTATTGTTACATTAAAAAGCATGGTGGAATTCAAAATAATGATGAAAAGCCTCTTCTCAGTTTAAGTATGGGTAAGAAAAAATTTAAATTCCAGTTCATTTCCATTTTTTGATGTTGAGTCAGCAATGCATTCATCTTTTAGGTGGTTTCCGAAGAAAGTCTACTGATAACCAATCAAATGGACAGAAAAATGATTCGTCGATGGATGCTAGAGTCTCTGTTGATCCAGATGCTTCTGGAATTCCAAACGTTAATGATGGCTCATCTTTGGATCCTTCTATGCAACCACCAAGGGTAAAAGAGTCTCTACGACATACTTTAAAGCCTCGAGCAGTTAGGGCAGAATCGTCTTTGCGGCCTACCGGGAAAACGGAATTTGCTATACGGCCTTCCGCCGGAAACACAGGGTCTCCGATTGGGGTTGGTGGAACAGAATCATCTCCACATCCTGAATCTTCTACACAACAACCACCTCCTACCGGATCTTCTCTTGCTGCTCCTGCTCCTGCCGCTGATCCTCCTCCACCTCCAGCTCATGTTATCCCTCATGTACAGCTTACCGAACCAAAACCTCCTTCTGTTGAGTCGCCACCTGCTCAAACTCAAGGAGCATCGCCACCTCCTCAAACTCAAGGAGCGCCACCACCTCCTCCTCAAACTCAAGGAACACCGCCACCTCCTTCGCAAAATCAAGGAGCACCACCACCACCACCACCAACTGGAGAAACAGGAGGAGCACCACCGCCACCGCCACCAGCAACTGAAGGATCAGGAGCACCACCGCCACCACCTCCAACTGGAGGATCAGGATCAGGAGCACCTCCTCCACCGCCCAAACTTGGTGGGAATGCAGGTGCACCTCCACCTCCTCCTCTACGTGGATCTGTGGCACGGCCATTAAGTGCAGCCTTGAGACTTCGACGGACTGAGCAAGTTGATGCTTCTAAAGCTAAGCTAAAGCCATTCTTTTGGGATAAGGTTATGGCTAAACCTGATCAACAAATGGTTTGGGATAAGATAAGATCAGGATCATTTCAGTAAGTTTTATCAACTCTTTTTCCTTTGATATTTACATATTGTACACTAAAGCTTCAGAATCATAACGTATATGTTCCTCAATCACATAGGTTTAATGAAGAAATGATTGAAAGCTTATTTGGGTATCAAGCGGCTGAAAAAAACAAAGATCAAGACACAAAGAATGTTGCCACGAAAAATAAAGATCCCCCCGTGCATTTCGTCCAAATTATTGATCCAAAAAAGGCACAAAATTTGTCTATTCTCCTAAAAGCACTTAATGTGACAACAGAAGAAGTTTCTGCTGCGCTTATAGAAGGTAATTCTTCTTTCTTCATATTCCATTTTATTCTCACACCTAAAACTAAAAGCATCTATTTTTTATGAGTTGAATCAGGAAATGAGCTACCAATAGAAATTGTTCAAACTTTGCTAAAAATGGCACCCACTAGTGAAGAAGAATTGAAGTTGAGGTTATACGATGGGGATCTTCATCGACTTGGACCTGCAGAACGATTTCTAAAGGTTTTGGTTGAAATACCTTATGCATTCAGAAGACTTGAATCCTTGTTATTCATGTGCACACTTCAGGATGAGGAATCCAACATCAAAGAATCTTTGGAGACCTTAGAGGTTAGTGTGTTCAAATATTTGCATCAAAACATAATCACTTTTGTATTAATTAATTTTTATAAAAAAATTCACAGGCTGCTTGTGTCCAACTTAAAAAAAGCCGGTTGTTCCTCAAACTATTAGAAGCTGTACTGAAAACTGGGAACCGGATGAACGTGGGAACATTCCGTGGTAGTGCAACCGCTTTCAAACTGGACACACTTTTGAAACTATCGGATGTTAAAGGAGTTGATGGAAAAACAACTCTTTTGCACTTTGTAGTTCAAGAGATTATGCGGTCAGAAGGTATACGGGCGGTCCGGTCAGCCAAAGAAGGGAAAAACATCTCCAGTATCAAAACTGAAGATCTTCTTCTAGAACCTCCTCCTGAAGAAGCCGATGAACATTACTGCAAATTAGGGCTTGAAGTTGTTTCATGTTTGAGTAGCGAGCTTGAGGATGTGAAAAGAGCAGCGATTATTGATGCGGATGGGTTGACGAGTTCGGTTTCGAAACTTGGGAATGCACTTTTGAAAGCGCGTGAATCACTGAATACGGATATGAAGATTTTGGAAGAACAATTGGAAGAGGAAGCGGATGAGTTTTGGTTGATTTTGTCAACTTTTGTTGAGAATGCTGAGAAGGAGATTTCGTGGATGCTTGAGGAAGAAAAGAGAATAATTGCGCTTGTGAAAAGTACAGCGGATTACTTTCATGGGAAATCTGGGAAGGATGAAGGGTTGAGATTATTCACGGTTGTTCGGGATTTTTTAATTATTTTGGAAAAAGTAGTTAAAGAGATTCAGGCTGCACCTATCAAGCCACTAAAGAAGAAAGATAACATGTCATCGGGTACACAAAAGAAAGAAGAAATGTCATTGGATCCTGAAAGAAAAGATGATCAGAATCAGTCGACGAATGGAGGTCCTACGTTGACCCGGATACCAAATTGTCAAATTCCTTCTCCTCCAGATTAAGGACAACACAATAGAGCATAGTTCTAGTTCTAGTTTAGAAAAGATGGTGATTAGTCCACATATTTTTTTAGTCATATAAACCAGGTATTGTGTTTTCCACGTTATAAGATTACATTACATGGCTTTGTCCGTTGTTCTTGTAAAAAATGTAGATAAATCGACCACACCAATCTGATTGTGATTGAGAAATCAAAATCAAATGACCACAAGAACACACCTTGAAGGATCTATACAAACAAAACAATAATGATATAACTAATCAATAGAATATGTAACCAAATAATGAACAGTCAATCTAAACAAACAAGGTAAAGAGATCAAACAAAAGGTAAGTTGAATCCCGAACACAACAAAAGATGGGGGTGAGTAGGTCTAAGTCCACTTATGGGGGTCAAGGGGCAAAGTTTTGGTGGTGGTCCTACAAACTAATCAACGGTGGGTCCAGGGACAACTCCTTGAAACCTCTACAAAGTTTAGGTTGGAAGTTCGATGGAAAAACATGATTAGAGAAAATGAAAAAAAATGAAAGAAGACATATTTTGAGTCAATGTCAATATCTCATTTTGTATCATCCAGTGTTGGTGGTAGGCTGACAGCTATGCATCCTAAAATCTTCATCGTTAGTTTTATTAAACAGCTCGAGCTCATGATGGTTTTTTCATAAACCGTTTGCTTAATGCTAAAACCGTAATTTTCTAAAATATTATTTAAATTTTGTATGTATGAGTAGATGTACTCATATCTTTCCAGATTATGAACTCATTTGAAACACCCCCAAAATACGGTCTAAAAATTCTTTTTAAATCATAAATAAAACCATTGTAATCCAAATTATCTCATGAAAACATAAGTGAAATATTTCAAACATCATATCAATCACTGTATCAAAATCATATATCAAAATATCAGAGTAAATCATCCCAGGCTAGAAGCTGTGGTGTGTGCCATCGAGTCATCCCGAGCTCTTCCCTTGGCTAGCTGAAGTACCTGAAATCAAAACTGAAAACTATAAGCACGAAGCTTAGTGAGAGTCCCCAAACTACCACATACCATACACATAAACATATACTGCAAACATTGGGCCTAGTCCGCTACCTCAGGCCTCGTCCGACGTCGAACGAATCCGACATCAGGCCCCACCTAGCATCGAGCCCCCGCTCGGTATACAAATTTGTTTCTACTAGGCCCCGTCTGTCTCTGGGCCCCGCCTGCTATACACATGCAAACATGTAATCATAATCAAGCTAGTACATAACAAGTAAACACATCACTATAACTGCTATTCTTAAGGCCCCGCTTATCTTGTTCTCCGCCCCTACTCTACTACTAATGAGATATGGAACCCCATCTACACTCAGCTAATGATGAGATATGGGCCCCCGCCCACACTCATCTCCCTACCAAGAACATACAAGTATCACAAAGACAACAAGTATAACTAAACATACATTCCTTCCTCAGGTACCACCCAACGTCGAACCGCAATTCGGTAACATACATATAAACCTTCCTCGGGCCTCTCCTGGCATCGGATCGAAATTTGGAACATATAAACTACATCGGGCTAACCTCGACATCGGGTATAAATCCGATATACACTAACATACATAAACAAGTCGTCATTGGTGCCTTCGAACCATTCCTACTGGAGAAAACTCACCTCATAAGCTGACGTCCTGCTGATACTTCTCTAGCTGCTAATTTTAAATTCTCTGAACCGGTGCTCTTTCGGCTCCTCGAGCTATTAGTACCAAAATGACACTTAGTCCCAAAATTCCCTCAAAAGTCAAACTAGGTCAAAGTCAACAGTCAAATTCAATGCTTCGAGTTGACTCAACTCATCCAGTAGCTCCATCAACTCATCAAGTTCTAAAACTCAGACTCCTGAAATCGTGATCCAACTCGTCAAGTTAACCCCTGAATCGCCGAGTTCCCTGGCTACTCATGGTCACGATGTATCGAATCAACTCGTTGAGTCATTCCTCTGACTCGTTGAGTCCTACCACGAACAAAAACGGGACAACTCAATTCAACTCGTCGAGTCCGTCCCTGGACTTTCCGTGTAACATCCCGACTCCCAGGCATAATATTTATACATATTTATCTTCGATTTAACTGAGTGAGTCAATAAATGGGTGCCCCAACTCGTCGAGTAGAGTGAAATTGGCCATGTGGCTTTAATAACCAACTCGAAGTTTCAGAGAGCCGACTCGCCGAGTTGGCGCTGTATGAGGGAAACCCTAATTTCTGGGGTTGAGTCCTATTTAAAGGGCCTTGAGCCCTTATTTATTCCTCCCTTATTACCCTTGAGCACTATCAAGTTTTAGCTTGTTGTATGAGAAGGAGAGGCTACCTTGAGCATTTTGGTGCACCTTGAGAGAAGAAGAGGAAAGCATCAAGGCTTGGAGCAAGGAGGGACATTTGGATCTAGAGGTTCTTAGTGGATCGCTTCTGTTTGAGGTAAAAAGATGATATCTTGATCATTTTTATTGTGAGATCTTAGTTGGGGAGTTCTAGGGCTTTTCCCCATCCTTCTTGTGTTATTTAGTCCCTTGAGCATATCTTGAGGTTGAAACCTTAGATATAGATTGTAGGAGGTCTTGTGAGCTTAAAGACCCAAGCTTTATGGAGCTAGAGGCAAGCCTATGAGCATCAAACCCTTATTGGAGCTTGTATTGGCATTATGGAGAAAATATGTCATGCATGAATGTAAAGATCGAAGCTTTACGTGACATTCGAGCCTTGGGGTAGTAGATATAGAGTTTGGAGTGGTAGATCTGACGGGTTTGAGCATTCTAACACTCCTATGGTGTACATCCAACCCTAAATACCTTGGATCTATGTTTTCTCTATTGTACATGCAAACTTGAACTTTCCAAGGTATTCCCCTAACTACCATACAATCATTGATACGTGGGTAATATAAACAAGTTAGAAGACATACCTTTTTGTTGTAGCTTGATTACATGGAGCTCAAGAGCCTAGTGCCCCAAGTGTGACACCTCAAATGGTTCACACAACATCACCCATTTGGAATAACCATGAGAAGAGATACATGGACTCTAGAAATCGGCTTGCTTTCTTGTGTATACACTAGTCCCAATTTCACCAACCAATGGGGTCTTTATATAGTGTGGCTATTAGGGTTACACCATGTAACTCATTACTTTACCCATTCCTTATGCTCCATGGGTTTTAACCTCCATGGAGTATCCGTGGGTCACCACATGGGTTAAACCCAACATAAGGCATCATGGATCACAAGCCCACATATATAAGAATGAATGATTTACAAAATCAATCCCTATATATTTAATTAGTTTCTTTTAATCACTAAATTAATTCTTTATCAATACTAATTAAATGCTATGATTTCATATTAATATATTAGAACTTATAATATATTAATATGTCACAAATATCCTCTTCTCACAAAAGGTCTACCCAAATGTTCCGATGCCATGCAACCTAAATGGACCATGCCGGGTCGAGTCAAGTATATACCAATTATAGTTATGGACTTAGACACTAATCCAAAAGTCTCCCACTTGGATAAGTCTAATAACTATTATTGCGAGTGCAATTCTAACCTGATCAACAATCGTAGCTCTTAAAAGCTGTTGCTGAACTCTGAATAAATCAATAGCATGTCCATTAGATAAAGGATCATATATTCCTCCGTTCTAGATATCATATGGATTAAAACATGGATTATAATCATTCTCTCTGTCTATCTGTTGTTTCCTGATTTCCGATTTATGAAGATTGACTAATTGAACAAATCAAATTAGTCCAGGCTTGGCCAAGCACTTCGGGGTGTAACCACTAAATTATCGAGGGGCCCACATATATCGCTTTTATCCCCTAAAGGGTAAAAGGAATGGATAAACTTCGATCCATATGCTTGTTCTACTACTTGTTGAATCATACACAAAGGCACATTTTATAACATCGAGTTACCAATGCGTTTTCGTGCAATCAATATATAACCAACTCATAGTCAACAGCTCATATCTCTAGGTTTGAAGAATATAAGATATTATCGTCTCATGATTCACTCGTGATAAAATCTATGTAGTGATTTAAATGAGCATTGGTTGGATCCAATACTCAGAACTTATGAGTACTCATGAATGTTGTATCAACTCTTACTATGTCTAACATCTTAGACATGTACAAATCCGATTCATGATAATCTTAATTCATACCTACTTCCAACATATGACTGACTGTGGAGAGTTTAAATAACTTAATCATTCAGAAAGAATAACCTAGTTATTTTGGAAGTCAAAACATGCAAAGTGAAACACAAGAATAATCGAATCGAATATGGTCTCAGAACTTATGAATATAAATAGAACAACTTTTATTTATCACCATATTGATTACACATTATTTATTGTATACTGTTTCAAATTATCAACTTTATACTTGTATTAAAACAATAGTTGTCCCATGCTCCAAGCATGTGCAGTATGTTTTCTAAACACTAGTCATGCCATACACCAAGTATGCACACTATGTTTTCCTATGATGTTTACTTTGTGAAATAGATCGATTGAACGTAGTTCCAATGATTCTCATTTCACAATCCCAAATCCTTACCGCAAAGGCAAGAATTCCAAATTCTTGCCGTTTACCGAAATCTGTTAGATTTTAATCTTATATGCATTGATCCTCGTGTAATGATTATGCACAAAGTCACAAAGACTTGTCAACAGTCATTACAGAGTATTCCAATGGAGATCATTCCATGGAAACGAAGTCTCAAATTCAAAGTACATTGCTTTGAACATCCTTCTTGCATTAAGTTTTCTAATCTTACACAGATTGAATAACTTCCATCTATGGAGATATCTCCATATTCCCATTTTGTATATCACTTCTTGACAAGAGTTTCCTCCTTTCAGAATATGTCAGTATGGTCCTTCCAAAATTAACACTATACTTCCAACTGTCTCTGAGTAACCAATCTTTGGTAAACCTTAGATTGTCCTCAT